CATTAAAGTAACTTTATATATGATTTGTATTAATGCTTTATTTCATACAGGTTTACAATTTTTTATGATGTTAGTGGAGGTTGTCTTAGTTTTAGGCCTCCTGCTGAATGTAACTCTGCTCTTTCTTCATCAAATGGCCATGTTTTGATTATTATTATCAAAATGTGATTAACATCCATCCATCACTTCATGATGGGTTGATTAAAAAGCCAAATCACAATGACACGGTTGGTCCAACTTAAGTGATTGTTTAAGTTTTATTGTACAAAATCCAACCCAAAATTCATGCAACTCAGTGTGGAACTAACACAAACTTGCTCTGGAAACAAATTCAACATTGTTCTCATTTACGACAGTATGTTAAACATTTTGGTTCTCAGAGGTCAAACATTGTTCGCCTTTCAATTAAATCTTTATTTACTCCTAAACTGTGTGTTTGTGTTTTCACACCCAGCAGCTGACTTGTGGCTCAACCCATCTGTTGTTTGGACACATGCGCTCTTTTCCTGTTGTCCTGTGGTTCTCCACAGAGATGCTCCAAAACAAAAGTGTTTCTGTTTCAAATAATTAAAAAAAAAAAAAAGCATTCTCTTTCTCTCTCACTCCAGTCACATATTCTCCATCATTCTCTTCTGTTTTTCTTCCCGAGTGTAGCTCTGCTCCTACAGGGTGTTGGAGGCGCGCCAGAAAGCTAACAGTCTGGGCCCCCAGCAGCATCCCAGGGTGCAGCATCTGTCATTATGAGGTGTTTGGGTTTGCAACATGCAGCCAACATACAGTACAAGTGTGCACATGTGTGTGCCTGTCATAGTTGGCATTCCGCACCTGCTAAGTCTGTTATTCTGTGTTCACTAGGCAGGATCTGGCACTTAAACTACAGCCGAGGCTGCAGGAATGCTCTTATTTATACAGTAGTGCTCCAACGGCATATTTAGTGTGTGCGTGAGTGTGTGTATGAGATAGATTGAACCCTTTTGTTTTGAGCTGACGACAGATTTGAAGACCTGGTGTTGATGAGGAGGGAGCTCCGTCATTGCTTTGTAATGTGCTGGAAAATCCCTGTTTTGTCATGTTGGAGTTGTTTATGTGGAGCTTCTGACTCGTTCTGCTGAAGCCTCCAGTTGTTTGAGCTCTCATCTTTTAGTACTCATATTTAAAAGGCTGGCAAATTTCAGTACCAAGGACAGGTCCCTTTGAATGCCTGTGAGAATGTAACTCAAATAGTTGTTGGAAAATGGCTCAAATAATCCAAGGCTTGATTACCAGTCGGGCAAAGCAGGCAGCTGCCCCCAGGCCTCAGACCTCTACGGGCCCAAAAAGTCTCAGATTCACTGTGTGACAGTTGCCTCTTGTTAATTTGAATATTTGCAAATGTGTTAATTGTTATAAAGTTGCACCATTACAGTACAGTATCAAATGAATGTAATATTCCTGTATATTTGTAGTGATTGGTTTCTAGGTTTCCATTTGTGTGCTGTGTGCATTGTACTTGATGGGAACTTGGAGGCAACAGGGGCTTTCAAAGTGGCCATGGGTGATCAGGTGATACTGGATAAATGGATAAAACATGACATTTTCCTTAAAGCTCAGTGTTTTTCCTACTCACATTCCTGCCTGATTAAGTTAAAGGGTAACTGGAATTTTTCAACCTGGACTCTATTTTCCCATGTTTTTGTGTCTAAGTGACTAATGGAGACAATAATTTTTGAGAACTGGTCCAATATTGAGCGAGCTGCGGCCGGCAGCAGCAAAACATGCTGCAGTGTAACCACTCTGGGCAATGGTGAATTATCAGTGTTGCTCAATACTGCACCAATTTCAAAAAGTGTTGTTCTCATTAGTCTCTCAGACACAAAAACGTGGGAAAGTAGGATCCAGGTTGAAAAATAACAAAGTTACCCTTCCATTAAACTCTGTCTTAGGCTAATTGTGAAACTGCTTTACATGTATAAGTCCACTTGAAAGGTGTGTCATTCTTGAGAAAGATATGTGTAATACTCAGGATTCCGGTAAGCCAGCCTTAGTCTTTGAACGCCTGTGTTTTCTTGTAGTGCCTGTTTCACATCACTTGTCACAGTTTGTCCAGCAGTCATTATGCAGAAAAAGCTGTTCTTTTATATCCATCTTGTTTTGGAACAAACTTAATTTAACTGCCTGTAACAAAGTATGAATGCATCAACCCCCCCCCCCCGTGTCTGGGCGAGCCCTCGCTCAGTGCCCACGCCAGACATCAACCCTCAGGGCCACATTCTTCAACTCACCCTGTCTCCGTCTGAAAAACATGATACTTCCAACCATTTCACTGTTGCATTTTAAAAAAATATGCAGTCCATGTATCAACTGGATGTCCTGTGGGAATATTTTCAGATTTCCATCTGGGCTCTTGCAGGCTGTAGCTTCTGGCGCTGAGAGCTGCACATGTAGAGATCAGTGGACCGGCTTTTACAATAACAAGTAAACTCAGGGGACAAAAATCTTAACAGAGAGTTCTTTATATTTCGGGTGATATCTCCCAAAAGTTGTAGATTCTTTCTGTTTTACTGTCAACTAATGCAGCCAAGTGTGTCACAGTTCACATTAAAGGTGCATGTTTAGATGTCATAAATATTTATGGTTTGGATCACTGTGCCTTCTTGAATCTATCTCTGTCCTCTCCTCACATTTAAGCAGAGTAATGATATTTTGCTACCAGATATACTCTAGTTTGTATTTTAATGTCTGTGGTCAGCAGAAAACAATACACTGGTTGTATTTGGACAACCTCCTGGAGTGGATTTCCCTCAGTACAAGAACAAGACAGCAAGTGTGAAAAAGAGAGGGTGTTTATTTGTGAATGTTACTGAACCCTTCCTGCTCTAAGTGTGTGAATGTGTATGAGCATGCTTTGTGCCTTTAATGTGCCCTTGCATTACTGTTTTATTGAGCGGAGACCATGACATATCCGGTAAGGCTTTCACTTTAATGAGAACCTCCTTCCCCCATCTTACTCCACTCCACTGTCTCCCCCTCCTCTTTTATATGACATCAGCACTTTGGCTGATGGGCCTGCCATGCTGAAGGTCATTGACTAACACATCTATCTACATACACTCTGCAACTCTAATGAGGTTATCTGTCTTGGTTTCCTGTCATGTGGGACACGTGTCTGAAATTAAACTGTAATTTCACAACAAGAGCAGCCTGTTTTCTGACTGGGGATCATTTGCTACAAAAACTGATGAGAAATTGTGTTGAGAAGGATTTGGAGATTTGAATCAGCTGGGGTTATAGGAGAACACAATATCAGTTGTGTCAGCTGTGCTTTACATATTCCCAAGTGATAACATACTGTATCTGTGTAATTAGGGCAACTGTTAAGTAGCCTACATCTTTAGGATTTCTATTGTTATCCTGTCATGTTAACTGAGATGGTTTCATAATGCTAAACCTTGTTTGCAGTATATATATATATATTATAAATAAACTGTAATGCTGATCAAGTGAAATCACATGCAAAAATACAATGTGGGAGTTGCTTGTTTATTTTCTGGCTCTGAGAACTGCACACGTTAAGATCAGCAGACTGACTACTACATTAACATGGTTACTCATTGGAAAAAAATGCTCAACAGACAGTTCTTTACATTGGGTGTACACTGAATGTGTCAGACATTCCTCGTCATGTGTATAGTCACTTTGACAATGCTAATGGATATTTGGTTTTTCCAGTTGGATCTTCACTTCAGATTCAGATTCAGATTCAGAATACTTTATTAGTCCCAAAAGGGCAATTCATTTCTACAGTTGGCCTGTCCATAACAACAAACACACAATGCAACAAACATCCACAATCGAGCATCATCGCATCAGCAACAACGACAGCATCAACCACAACCAGTGACAGCACAGCAGAGCGGAATGCAAAATAATTCACAGTTCACAATACTTCATAGTAAAATAAATCACAGTTCATTCTGCAATTGTGCATTTAGCAGCCTTATGGCAGACAGGACTTGCCAATTACGCTAATCTAGTCAGCACAGTGGTTAGTGTAGGAGCCAGATGCCAGTTTGCAGCCAACAGGCTGACAATGTATACTAAATTATGGAGGTTAACAGTAATCTGACTGTAATGAGAAGGACTTACGTCACTGTTCTGTGTGGCAGTATGACCTTAACTTAACTTGACTAAGGTGCTAAACTGTGCATATAAACATATATATATATATAAAAAAAATTAAAATATTAAAAAAAGAACTTTCTGCCAAACCAGACCAAACAAGACAGTATAATGCATCTGTTTCATGTTTGCCCATATTGTATTTATTTTTTTTAGAAGACTTTGAAAATGTGCAAAACAACACATGCAGTTATTATTGAAAGTAAAAATGTTGCCACTTACTTTGAATGTGATGACAATAATTCATGTACTATTGTTTGTATTTTTATCTTATAGGGGAAATGTTATATTCATAAAACTATATTTCTGATTTAACCCCAGTTTAAGTTGTTTTTAATCTAGGCTAAATCAAATGTTATTTGTTGTGTCTTAAAGTTGCAACAGATGAGAAACCCATGTCAACAGCTAATATTTGTCACCTTAATGATTCATGTTTATTTATTCATTATTATTATTATTTGCTGATGTTACTGTCCTCCATTTTTGCCAATTGAATTGGTATGACTGATTGTCTGTACATTCTTGTAACTAAATAAAGAAAAAAAAGCTTTAAAAATTCTTTATTTTTTGTAATACAAATATGCTTGAAGAGACTTGTTATATGTGTATTGTAAGTCAAGTAAACCGGGACAAGTTCTATATAGGCCTTTAAAAGAGAATATGCCTATCTAGAATTGCATTTCTGTAACACTGCCAGACTCACAAAAAACAATAAAAAAAAATCTAAGTCAATTATGCAGCAAAACCATATGTCGTACTTTTTTAATTTAATTTAATTTAATTTACTAGCTGTAGGCCTACTTCATGCCTGCCACACCCGCCGTCTACTTTACCCAAAATGCATCTCAACTGCCAATAAATCGTTCGGGAGATTCAGGTGCGTTAGCTACTACTGGCTAACGTTATTAGCCTCTAGCTGCGAGCCTCCAGCAGCGACGAGGAACGGGCTACAGAAGTCTGGTAATTAAACCCACTTCCTTTTTAACTCTATCCTTTTTAATTTAACAAACTTGTAGACTTCAGACTTATCCGATGTTACAGTTTATTTTATTTCGTACAGCTCCTCCCGGTACGGAGCCACATAAAGCTCAATGGGCTACAACGGTTTTCACTCACCCAGTAACTTAACAGTTAGCACTCCCCAACACCTGTTAACACACTTTGATGTTTAAAACCGGTGATAGTGTCTTTTTACTTTGGTTGTTTCTGGCTTTTACCAGAAAAAAATAAATAAATTTGTAAATATTTTTATTTTTAAGTCAAGTGAAATTAATTAAACTAAGTCTACACTAAGTCAACTATCAAGTCTAAGTGAAGTCTATCAAAGTCATGTTACATAGGCTGCTAAGTCTTCAGGTTATAGTCACATCTCAAGTGTCAAAGAAATGACTTAAAGTCTTGTGACTTAGAGCTGCATCTTTCTACATAAACATAACCCTCCCTCCCTAACAGCATACATAAAAGGTCTTATATTATTCTCAGGTCAAGTTGCTGCCTTGTACTCTTTGCACACACTCAAGTGTGTCATAGACCTTTTTGTATCATCAGCATGTTTCCTTATTCAACATGTTTTTGTTAGTGAACTGTGAGTTTGTATTGGTGTATCTGGGACCAGTCTAGGCCTGTTTGAACTTGTGCTTTTTTTTAAAATTCCCAACATAATGGTACAAAGTGCAATTAAGATTTAAACTAAAGCATCATTTTATCATGAGCAACACACACCCGCACTTGCAATATGTCACTTACAGTATATCATCTAGAATAAGGTATTTTCTGTATGTATGTCAGAGTGAGATATTAGATAGAGCTTCAAAACTATACTATAATTACATTTTTCTGTCTTGTATTTAATTTACACGGGTTATTACAGCAACTTCAAATACAGGATACTATCTTCAGCTTCACTGTAGATCAACAAACAGGAAAAGAAAATCCAAGTGGATAAACCAGGAAGCTGCGTGCATTAAGAAGTCCCTGGACTGCTGTGTTTATTTTAGTGTTTTGACATGGACCACAGGAAGGATGTGGTTCATATCTCTCTGTGATTTCAATCAGTCTAACTACATCACTGCCAAAATGCCCAATATGAAAATGTTGCTGCAGGTTTATTTGCAAGTCAAAGCAGAATTTACTTGACCTTGTTAACCGCAGAAGAAAGAGTATGATGACAAACAAGTCCAATAATCCCATTTTAAGTGAAGTAGCCTATAGTTGGAAGTCTCCTACAGCAGAAACACTCAAGTAAAGTGTGCTGAAATGTGCACCACTGTGCAGGACTTAAACCCGTCACCTGTATACTTTGCTACCAAATCCCTGCAAAAATGCCTGTATTTCTCACATATGCATACAACACAATTCTTATTTCTTACAGTATGTGCAGCACTTTTTAGTGGGCTGGTTTTAAACTTCCTCATATCTCTCCAGGGGCTTGAGCAGGTTTAATCTTCTCCAAAACTTGCAGGCTTTCTTCCAGTGTCACTGATGTAGGCTACTCCTGATAACGACTCAGATTTAATTTACCAATCCCTCGGGACCGATCCAGTTTCAGTTTAAGATGTAGCCTATAAACGATACTTTAAAGCTATAAAGATTTTATTTCATTCATCAACCGTCCTCCTCTCCTGTCTGTCCTCCATCAGCACCGTCTCTGATGCTGCAAGGCGTGCCGCGGCGCACCGGAGCCCCATGTGATACCGAAGGGAGGTGTTGGAGGTGGAGGAGGCGGGGGTGTCCTAAAAGTGTTGGCTGGTCCTTACACTTCACATCACTCCAGATCGAGGCTATCCCGGGGCGGAGCTGCACTGTTAGAGCTCGTCATCTGGACGCTTTGGATACTCGTTTGCAGAGACGCAGTCGTGCCATCTTGGAGGGTTGTTGTGTGTTTTTTTTTTTTTTAGACAGAAGTTCACCTCTTGTGATTGTTCGCCATGGGAGCAGAGAGCTCAGTGCAGCGGGACGTGAAGAGCCAGGAGGATGCCTCAGCTTCAGCTTCAGCCTCCGCCGGGGAGCTGAATGCGGAGGTGAACACGCTCCAGGAGGGAAGCAGCGTCCTTGACAGCAAGGTACAGCCGATAATGAGGCTTTCTGATCCGTCACTGCGCACACATATCCCCGGGTAAACCTGAGAGTGCACTGTCACATCATGTTCATGTGGTGACGTTGATTCTGTGTCTTTGTATTTGCTCTAATGCTATATGTTTATAGTTTACCTCTGTGTTTACAAACATACCTGACGTCCCCCCTTTCCCCCCTTCCTTCCTCTGGTGTCCCACTTGGTGCGCATCAGTAATGTGCTGCAGCGCACAGCCTCCATGTGCGCCTGACGCCGTTTTTGCTGAGTAATGGGTCGAGGTGTCTGCAGTCCCGCAGTAATAAAAACAAGTAGATAAGCCCGGTCCAGATTTACAGCCAGACAGGCCACCTGGGCTCAGGGTGACACTGAATCACCTAAAACCACAATCACATTTTGTCTTTGTGGTGATGCACATGAAACCAATAAATGATTATTGAATTAGACTGCAATGTATTGATAATATCAGGCTGGACTCGTGATTGCACTCCTTTTAGCTTGCACTTTGCATGTTTTTGTTTCCAAAAGATGTACACTTTTAAATTATTTTACTCACTGAATTAAATATAGCAATCTTAAAATGCATTTCAGAGCAAAACTGTCTTATTTTTTATTTTGTTTTGCATATATCTGAAGTGTAAAACAAGGTAGAAGTCACTACAAAAGGTTAACAGATTAAAAAACACAACACATTTAAGTTATGACAAATGTGATATCATAAAAATCATACACAAAATTCACAATATTGTGAGTTTACATAAAAATATTTTACCACAGTGTCCACGTACTTGGTTTTCCAGAGCTTTCAGCTATATAATAAGTAATTTTTACAATTATTAGGATTTTTATTTTGTCCCATCCTCTGTTGATGTGCATGTTTTAAAGGTAAGAATCAAGCAGGGATCTTTTAACCTATATGTGTGTCTCAACACAGTGAAGTGTCAGATAGGGCTGCAACTACCAATCAATCTTTAGATTATTTTGATTATATTATTATTATATTGATCAATCATTTTCCGTACAAGTCATTCATGAAAAAAATACTTTAACAAAGGCTTTTACAGTATCCCAAAGTGACTTCATCAAATGTCTTGTTTTGTCTAACCAGCATTTCACAACTCCAAAATATTAAATATACTCTAAAATCTCTTTTCATGTTTCTGTATCCAAAAGAGTTACATTATTGTGCACACTAAATCAAAAATAGCATTCCTGTCAAAAAAATACTTTTCGGGGTAAAATATATTTTTTGGAAGAAAAGAAATAACATATATAAAGTAAAAAACAAGGTAGAAATCACTGTAAAAATATTGCCAGATTAAAATGCACAAAACATTTATAAAGGTATGACAGTTGAGATATCAAGTTTGCAATAAAAAAAAAATCATGATATTGTAGTCTTACACAAAAAGATTTAATCATAATGTCCACTTATTTGGTTTTCCAGAGCTTTAAGCTATATGATATAATTATTTCATTACAATTATTCTCTGTGGATGTGTATATTTGAAGGGGAGACTCAGGGCTGCAGGGATCTTTAACCTATATATGTGTCTTGACTCAATGAAGTGTCAGATTGGGCTGCAGTCATGTTTGTTACTGATTAACTCGTAGATTGTTTTCTCAATTAATTGTTGGTCTATGAAATATAAGAAAACAGTGAGGAAAGCCTGTTAAAATATCCTAGAGCATGAAATTACTTGATGAAATGCCTTGTTTTGTCCAGCCAACATTTTCAAACCCCAAATCATTAAATTTAATATAATGTGAGACCAAGGTAAACTGCAAATCCTCATATTTGAGAACCTAAAAATGTCAAATTTTTGGCATTTTTGCTTGAGAAACAACTTAAATGACTAAATGGCTATCTACATCGTTCATTTGAATAATTGATTAATTGACTAATCATTGCAACCAGTCCCAGTAGCAGCACAAGATGGATTTCTCTACATTTTAATTGAAAGAATACAACAACTAAACTCTAGTAAGACTAAACGGGCCCTTCTTGTGTCCTTGGCTGTGCAGTGTGTTGTGGTCCAGCTGCCATCAGCTGAGGGATCTTGCCGACTCTGCACTGTTACCTCGGTGCAAATTTGCTCAGCACTGTGTGAATGAATATTTGGAAAGCGCCTACTAATGACTATGTATGTTTCGCCACCTGCTCTATTCACGCCTCGTATAACCTATTGGATTTATTGACTTTCTTATGGGCTGGAGGTCAATAGGTCAGATTTCGTGGCTCCTCTCTTTTTGAAATGTCAGCAGAAAGGTCAAATGACACGAAGGGGGACATTAAATAAGAGACAGCTCAGAGAATTTAACTTTTCAACAAGATTTGAACCATAGCGGTTGGATGTTTTGTTAAGCCTTTGAGCTGCTATCACAGTCGTCATCACAGTGGCAGTGTTTGCACTTGTATTTTACCAGTCATATTGGAATGTATGATATGAAATGTTTCAAAGCTGCTAGTCCTACTTCAGTACGTCTATTGTGCTTTGTGATTCCAGCTGTGACGGGGGCAGGGTTGGAAATTAACCTTTTTGTCCACCTGCCTCTGTGGCTGGTATACTCCAAACTCTACCAGCCACTCAGTCAATTACCTTTTGTTTTGTTTCTTTGACTGGTGAGTGAAGAAAAATCTAGCAGCCTTGTGCATATTTTTTTATGAAAATTTGGCTGGTGCTAATTTCCAACCCTGGACTGGGGGGGAGACACAGTTTGTGTGCTTAGACCCACGTTTCTACCGCTGATAAGATGCCTCTCCATGTGGCAGGCTGTTAGACAATGACTGTGTTTACAAGGTCTTTAGTACCCCGGTTTTGAGGCTTATCCCGGCTTTGAGCATATCCGGGATATGATGTTTACATGGAACACAGAGAAACCCGGTTATTCATATCCCTGTATACATGATAAATACCAGTAACCCGTTTTCTGATCACTGCATCCTATCTGCGCAGGCGTGTGTTAAGTCTTTTACGTCTTTTGTTTACAACAGATTGAGCGGGAAATGTGATATATTTATTATATTTAGAAGTAAGACAAAAATGAGACCTCTGTGGCTTCTAGCGGGCTTAGCGTTAGTAAATACTCACGTCGCATTACAGCTATGGCTCATCCACTTCATCTTCAGCAATGGGAGGAGAGAGCGACAACAAATGTTGAATACGTCACCAACTTTGATAGGTATTCGGCTGTCACTGCCACCACGCAGTACAAGGCAACAATGGATGAAAATACGTAGCCATGACTGGTGGGATAGGATCGTTCTCATGGAGTTTACAGATTCAGAGTGGAGAGAGAACTTCAGAATGAGTGGGGCATCCTTCAGCCGGCTGTGTGACGTAGTTGAACCATTCATGAAACCGGGATAAGGCGTATACATGCTTCAGTATCCCGGCTTCTATCGGAGTACTCCAGGTGGCGAAACCGGGAAAAGGACATAACCCGGTTTCTGAATTTGGGATATGGTGTTTACATGCACAAACACAAAAAACGGTATACTTAAAAAAACCCAATCAAAACCGGGATACTAAAGACCATGTAAACACAGTCATAGACTGTGTTGTCCTTGGCTGGAACCAGCTTTAATCCAGTCCCTGTTATGTTGTTTGTTTGTTGTTGCAGACACTGGAATTACCTTTCTTTACAAATCAATAGAAGCAGGTAATCAGTGCCACAGAGCTGGGATTTCCGAGGCATATTGTGTGATTTTATTTTATTTGTAGAAATATGAGAAACACATCAGTTCTTCAAGCAGCCAACAAAATCATTGCTTGTATCTTCTTGCTATGATAGGATTCTCCATTGCTGAAATGAAGTCAAGCTGCACTTGTTTAATATACTGTACTGAAGTGCAGTTTTTAGGTATTTGTCCTTTTGTATTTCAATTTTTTGATACTTTATACTTCAACTCCTCCACATTTCAGAGGGAAACATTGTGCTGTTATATTGTATTAATGCATAGTGAAAGACTTAACCAGTGTCTTGTGAACCCTTTTTAGAGAAAAAAAATCAGACATCTGAAACATGACAAGAAACTTCAACTTGTCAATGAGTCGTTAGCATTTCGACCAAAAATAGGTTTTCCTCTAAACTACTTTAAAGCTCCAGTAGGCAACATTGTTTTGGTATAATTGAGTAAAAATTTTATAATATCCTCTAAGCATAATGTAAATCAAGTGGTCTGAGACAAACAATAGGTTTCTGCACCTCACCATGGCTCTGTGTTCAGCCTCTAAAGAATCAGTATCGTGCCGATGTGCATCAACAAATCAAAGATCAGCTCAGACCACTGCGTTCCTATTGACTGTTCTACTGCATATGCGCGTTCCCGTGCCGCCGGCAGAAGGGGAGAGCAAGCGGCAATGGCGAACAGTGCACCAGGAAAAATAGCTATTCCAGCATTGGCTACAACTACCTACACGGCTGAACAACCCAAAAAAAGGAAGACAGAACTCGGCTCCCCAGAGCCCCGGAGGGAGGGGAAGGGTGAGGTGGGGCCAGGCCTGGCCAGAGGGCGCGAGGGCGTGAGGGTCGGCCGTGGGAGCGGAGCCAAGGGCTCTCCGCGGAGAGGGAGAGCCGAGCTGAGGGGGTATGTGCGGGGCGGGCTGCTGCGCGGTGAGGGAGAGCCAAGGCTTGGGAGTATGTGCGGGGCCGCGAGGGAGGGATGGGGAGTGCGCAGTGAGGTAGAAATAGAACCAAGTAGGATAAAATACTCGCATGCTTGTCTGGTAGGAGGGGCTCAGGGCGGAGACGAACGAAACCTAACTCAGATGAGACTCAAAAATCAACCGTTTTCAGGCTTTCTACCTACTGCAGCTTTAAGTTCCAGTTTGTAGGATTTAGTAGCATCCACTGGAGCCAGTGTTTGGTTTGTCCGCTCTGGGCTACCATAGAACAACATGGTCGACTCTGTGAAAGAGGACCCGCTCCTTATGTAGATATAAATGGCTCGTTCTAAAGTTGCAAAAACACAACAATTCTTATTTTCAG